CTAGCCTCGACTAGACTTTAGACGAGCTTCTTCCCGACTGCAGGCATATTTTAGCTTAGCAATTTTTCCTCGGGAGGAATTTCTCTAGGTAGAACTTTTAAATCTGACCTCCTCTTTTTATGGTATGTACTTTAGAAAATCTGCAATTATTGATTCTTTCCCCTCTATCCTTTTTCAGATATAAATCTTTTTAAAAGCCTCTTGCCAGCTTTATACCCCAGGACTGCCTTTCTCAAAGACCTGGGGGCCAGACTTTTGAAATCTAATCATCAAGAAAAAAAAAAAAATAGTGCCCTTATCTATCCAGCGGAGAGCAGGAGCCTAACTAACTTCCATCCGGGCCCATGGGCACACACAGACGAAAACACAGAGAAAATCATCTGGGAACTCAGGAATAACAAGGTGCTAAACACCCCACTGACCAGCCTCTCCCAACTTCCCCCAGTAACTTTGCAGGAACTCACCTGGGTCCTGAAAACCCTCCCGCCTTTAGGTGGGAGTGGAGTTGGGCGGGTAAAAGAACTTAGAAAACATTGAAACGTGCTGAAGCTGGGTGAGTAGTGCCCTAAAGTTATTTTTTTCTTAATGGGCTTTACTTTTCAGAGCAGTTTTAGGCTTGCAGAAAAATTGCACCAGGACAGGGTTCCCGTGTGCTCCGTCTGCCCGGCTCGCCCTGGCCCGAGGTTCTCCCGCTGCTGACCTGCGGGGTCAGTGCGGTGCGCCGGTGCCAACTGAAGGCCAGTCCTGACGCGGCATTACTCACTAAAGTCCTTAACTCAAGCTAGGGCTCCCTCTTTGTTCTGTGCAGTTCTGACGAACGCTTAGTTGTTGTCCTGTGTCTGCCTGCCCAGTGTCACACAGAACAGCTCTGCCGCCCCAGAAATAGCCCGTGCGTCACCTGGTCGCCTCTCTCCCCGCTGCTGAACCCCTGGCAACTGCCGATCTTTTGTTTTTTTACCGTCTTTATAATTTTGCCTTTGCCAAGATGTCATATGATTGGAGCCATGCGGTATCTAGCCTTTGTAAAAATAGTCTTTATTTTTTAGAGCAGTTTTACGTTCACAGAAAAATTGAGAGGAAGGTACAGGGATTTCCTGGGCACGCCCTGCTCCCTCCACCCCCAACCACGCACAGCATCCCCGTTACCACCCCCCCAACCCGAGTGCTGAATCTGTCACATTGGTGAACCTGCACCAACACAGCCTTACCACCCAGCGTCCGTAACTTACACTGGAGCTCACTCTCGGCGCTGCACTCTCTGCAGAAGCGGCAAATTAATAATGGCGTGTATCTAACGCCGTAGAATCACGGAGAGTCGTGTCGCTGGCCTGAAAACCCTGCTCTGCTGTGCCTGCTCTTCCCTCCCTCCACTCTGACCCGGCACCCACAGACCTTCCTACTGTGTCTTTCATAGTGCCGTATGTCCATAGTTGGAATCCTATGGTGGGTAGCCTTTTCAGGTAGATTTGTTCCACTTAGTAGTAGACATCTAAGGTTCCTCCATGTCTTTGCATGGCTTAATAGCACACTTCTTTTTAAAGCTGGATAGTATTTCATTGTGGATATACCGCAGTTTGTCAATTCACCTATCAAAATACATATTGAAGGACAAAAGGTATTTCCAGTTTTAGGCAATTAGGAATATGGCTTCTATAAACATTCGCATGCAGGTGTTTGTGTGAGGTAAGTTTTCAATTCAATTAGGTAAACATCTACCAATATAACTCCTGGATCCTATGGTGAGACTGCTTGGCGTTGTAAGAAGCTAATGGTCTTCCAAAATGGCTACACTGTTACTATTTTGCATTCCCGCCAGCAGTGAGTTTGAGAGTCCCACTGCATGCATCCTTGCTGGCTTTGGTAGTGTGCTTTTTGCCTGGGGGTGGGGGGTGGATTTTAGCCATTCTAATAGGTATATAGATTTTTTTCTTTTTTTTTAAATTTCCAATTTCCTGATAACAAACAATTTTGAGACTCTACTCATATGATTATTTGCCATCTGTGTATATGCACTGAGTTGTCTGTTTAGACTATTTTGCCCACATTTTAATTGCGTTGCTTGTTTCCTTGCTGTTCAATTTTAAGAGTTCTTTGTATATTTTGGATACAAGTCCTTTTGCAAATATTTTCTCCCAGTCTGCACCTTGCCTTTTCTTTCTCCTAACAGTGTCATTCTCAGAAGTTTCTAAATTTGACTTAAAACATTAATTTTTTTTTTCTCTCAGCAGTTGTGCGCTTGGTGTTGTAATCTAAAAACTTGCCACCAAACCCAAGGTTATTTAGATTTTTCTCCTGTGTTTTCTTCCAGAGCTGTATAGCGTTCGACTTTACAGTTAGGTCCATGATCCATTTTAAGTTGATCTGGGTAAAATATGTAAGGTATGTGTTTATATATATATATATATATATATTGCATTCCAATTGCACCATTTGTTGAAAAGACCATCCTTCATCCATTAAATGGCCTGTGCTTCTCTGCCAAGAATTAATTGACTATCAACTATGTGTGTGCGGTTCTATCTCTGGGCTCTCCATTTTGTTCCCTTGATCTTTGTGTCCATTCTTTCACAGTATCTTGCTGTATTTGACTGTACTTGATTAATTCTCCATGTCAGGTAGTGTTTCTCCAACAACTGTATTCTTCTTCTTTCATATTGAGTTGATTATATATGGGGCCTTTGGTCTCCCCACATAAACTCGCAAATATTGGGCTTTCCAACCCATGGTCACAGAATACCTTCATTTTATAGATCCTCTTCATTCATTAGAATTTTATAGTTCTTCACATGCAAGTACATATTTTGTTAGATTAATACCTAAGTATTTCTTTTTTTCATTTTTTGGTGTTATTGTAAATAACATGGTGTATTTTATGCCACGTTCCAATTGCTCATTATTGGCATATAAGAAAGCAATTGATTTTGTATATTAATCTTACATCTTGTCAGTATAATCATTTATTAGTTAATTAATCACTTGTTATTATATTATGTTAATATTAATCAATATAATAATTTATTAGTTCAAGGAAATTTTTTGTTGATTCTTTGGGATTCGCTATGTAGGCAGTAATGTCATCTAAAAACAAAGAGAGTTTTATTTCTTCATTCCAAATCTGCATAGCTTTTCTTTTCTTTTCTTCTCTTATTGCATTACTAGAACTTCTAGCACAATGTTGAGTAGGGCGTGGTAAGAAGGAAAATCTTTGCCCTTTTTCCAGATACGAGGCCAAATTTCACTCCTTTGTGTATGAAATTAGCTGTAAGTTTTCTGTGGATGTTCTTTGTCAGGTTGAGGAAGTGTCCCCAGTGCCAAACTTTTAAAGAAACATTATTGTGAAAGTATGCCTTGAATATCGTCTTCTGGACACCATAGCACACGTAGTATATGGTGTATATGGTAAATGGTAACATAGAAAGCAAAGGACTTTCAAAATACATTTAAATTGTTTCCTGGAAAACTTTATGGTATGGAAAAATGAGATTCCCACTATTTCTTTTCATTGCTAAAAGAACTATTTTTACTTAATTTTTCTTATATTCTAAAGAGATCACTTAAAAACTAAAATTCACAACTAAAGTAACAATTTAGTACATAATACATAGCCACTCTTTCTTGATCCAGAGTGTGACTTTGGAATAGATTGAGAAGTGGTCAAATCCTGGACTATCTCTTGTCAAAAAATATGAGTAACAAATGAATTTCTAGGTACAAATGGAATTTTAGAAACCAAAATTCTGTTGGTTATATGAAGCATGAGACTAGAGTCTAAAAACAGTAGTTGTCTGCTCCTACAAAAACCTTTTCTTGAGAAATTAACACTCCTGATTTCTATAGTGTCCCATATATTCAAGGTGTGCAATATCAACTACCTGCTTGAACAAGCCTAGCAATCAGTTTGTACTAAGCCAGAAGGAAGTAACTCATATTAGAAGCCTTTCTTTTCAAATACATTTAATAGGAATAAGCTCATTATTTAACTGAAGAATAGAAAAAAAAAATTGAAACGTGTAGAGAAAGGTAAAATAGTCTGGGTTGTGAGCGAATTTCATCCTCAGAAGTACCATAATGCTTTCAAAATATATACATGCTTCAAATGCGTCAAGCAAATAACTAAAATATTCTTTCTTCATATACAAACACAGTTGGTATATAACATAAATTTGATCGCAGAACTAAAATTAGTATCAAATTAGGCCAAAGAAGTCAGTGCCTTAAGGGGCTAACAAATTCCTGGAGATTTAAAAAAAATGCTCAGGATGAAATGGAATGATAATGCCAGTTCTGTTTCACGACTGAATAGTCATGGAAAATATTGAGACACCACTTCTCAAAAATGGGAAATATACGATGCACTGTTGTTTGTGCAGTTAAATGAAGAAGAGCTGGGGACATGGGCATGTGGCAGGGAGTCCCAGGCGAGGCTGAGGCCAGAGGAAAACAGCGGAGCATCCCTGAGAGCTGTCCAGGGAGGGCTCGGCCGTCCCGGTGGGAACCGACTCACGTCTGAACGGCCTTAAAAAGCGAGTCTGTTCTTTGCTGTTCTTTCAGAGAAAACCGCTGTGAAAGCATTGCAGGAAAACAGCATCTCCCCTTTTCTTTAAGATCCCCAGAGTCTGGCCCCATGTGACGGCTCTCGGTGGCCAGCACAAATTCCAAACCTTCACCTCTCCTGTGCTGTGTGCGGCTGCCCATCAGCCGCGTGGTCTTTAATTTTAAAAAGGTTACACGTGGCATTTTCAAAAGGCGAGAAGGAGCAAGATGTGACTTGCTGAAGAGAGAATTAGATGTACCCTTCGAAGTGAGCCCTGCTATAAATTAGGATATCGTGTCTTCTAGCACTTCACGACACGCCGGGCAAATAAAACTTTTAAAGAGCCGCAAGTCTCTGCCTATTACGCCTGCAGAGAATGAGGAGCTGAAGAATATAGCTCCTGTGTTTAACTATCACATACCTGAAATGTTTTAATAGACTTTAATCAGTTCTAGGACGGCACTTATCTGCGGAAAAGACAAGGAGTCCGCTTTTGAAGCAAAAGACAATAAACATAACAGAAGGATTCCTTTATGCTGCTGTTCCATCGATGGCTTTTGCACAGCCCTGGAGCTCCTCACAATGAGCTGTCGATACAGCGCAGTTTCTAGAAGACCCCAGTGTGGAGACGGATGTTGAGCTATGGGCCCAGAAAAATTTGATCAGCTCTTGAGAATCAAGGCAGGCTGTGTGGTAACCCTAGCTTCTAGCTTACTAGACAACCAGAAATGGGATTTGTTTGCAGATATCTGATCTCTCACTGGCTGCGAACAATGTCTGTGAGTCTAGGACCCTCCATGCCCTACAAGAGGCACAGCAGAGAGACAGTCGCCTACAGACTCTGCCCCACTGTGTTCCCGCCTCAGTGGGGCCTGCCTGCGTCTCCTGACGGTGGGAAACATCCTGACTCTCCTTTGTTTCTAGACACCATGTCACCGTCACCCTGCCTCGCCATGCTCCGGGTCTATTTATTTCACTATCGATCGTTTCGGAGTATGACGGGAGCCAATTTCCAGAGCTCAACAAGGCAGAATGTCCAAGGCAGCAGAAACTTCAACATGAGCTCTAATCCCAGGAAAAGGTTACTTGCCTTCTGCCAAGTTCTAGCCACCACTTTGGGCTCACGCTTGAAAGGAGATAATTACTAATTTGTCTATGGATTGCAAATGCCAAGAGTACTGGTTCTGAATGTCACTCAGTAAAAGTGACTATATTTTGTGGGCATAAATAATTGCTCTATGGAATAACTGAAAAATGTAAAAAAAATGGAATAGAACATCTGGGTGAGAAAATAGATTTTTCCCCCCTAGAGAAGCAACTTAAACTTCAGAATATTCTCTTGTGTGTGTGATAGGTTCACACAGTATCTCTTTCCAAAGTGTGGTTCTATATACTCACAAAGAGCAAAACTGCCCTAAAATAGCTCAGTGCTCTAGAAATAGCGATTATTCCTACTCAAAACAACCAGCTCCAGAAGCAAATGCATTGTGGACAAGAGTAGAATTAATTCCTTCCTGCACCTCAAAATTCACCAAAACCATGGCAAAGGCTTATGTTGAACTTAACTGATGTTGTACTGTCCTAAAAGTTTCATAAGCTAATACTACAGATAAGTAACATGAACTATAACGGCATAGCACGCTACTCACTTACCTGACCTTCACTCCATCGTGTGACTGCATTCATCCGTGCTCTCTAGTCTTCCCCTGAAACTTCCTAATTGCCGCCTGCAACGTGCTGGATCTTGTGGCTAGAAAGCTAATCCTTCTACTCCTGTGCACTTCTGCTCCCATCTGTTAAGTTGAACAGTTGCCAGGAGTCAGTATTATTTATTCCCAAATTTGTCTTGCTAGGGTTTTTTTTTTTTTACATTGTAATTATCTAGATTAATTAAATATTATATAAACTGATAAAATAGGGGTATGGAAAAGACAATTGCTTCTAAGAATACTAATTTAAATGCTTTGGTTAAATGCTTTGATTAAAGGTGAGTCACTAAAAATAACGCAGTCCCCTTTAGGGACAAGACAATGCAAAAGTAGGAAGAAAGCCATAGAAATTTAGAATGCCATGCTCAGTCTACGTGGCAACTGTTCTTCCTCCGCTTTATGGAAATGAAAACTGGGAATAGAGGAAAACAAGTGTAGTCTTTACAAGAAAAACAATTCAGCAGTCCAATCTGTGAGCTCATCCTCAGGGAAAAGGTCTTATGGCATCATAAAAAAGATTATTGATGGCCCGGGCGCGGTGGCTCACGCCTGTAATCCTAGCACTCTGGGAGGCCGAGGCGGGTGGATCGCTCGAGGTCAGGAGTTCGAAACCAGCCTGAACAAGAGCGAGACCCCGTCTCTACTAAAAATAGAAAGAAATTAATTGGCCAACTAATATATATAGAAAAAATTAGCCGGGCATGGTGGCATGTGCCTGTAGTCCCAGCTACTCGGGAGGCTGAGGCAAGAGGATCACTTGAGCCCAGGAGTTTGAGGTTGCTGTGAGCTAGGCTGACGCCACAGCACTCACTCTAGCCTGGGCAACAAAGCGAGACTCTGTCTCAAAAAAAATAAGATTATTGAAAGAATTTTACATGTTCTAAGTTGACATAAAATATGTGGCATTATTGTATATTATTCTAAGAATTTCATAATACAACAAGATAATCATCTTTACATGATTTGCCATGTTAGCTGACTTTTTGGACTAAATTACCAGCTACCAATGCTGACGATGTTAGAAGAGAGAATTCTGCTATAATTATAGTACAGCCTCATCAACAACAAAAGCCTCTCTAAGACTGAGGTTGCAAACTAGCAGCCTGCAAGACAAATCAAATTCAGCCTAGAGAGGTGCAGAATTTGGCCTGTCAAATTCTAAAAAAAAAAAAAAAGGATATTTCACATATAAATTCTAATCTCCTCCAGTGAGACCCATTCTCAGCCTCTGCAATGTGCCCAACTCGCTCACTCACCTTGCCTCCCTGCTAACAGCCCTTTAAAGAAAACATATCAAAATCACCTTTGAAATTCCTGCACCCCCACTGTATACTATGCTATTAACAAATTTATTTGACACAAAATAGTTAAGAGATCAAACAGTGATATTTGCTCATTTTTTCAAAAGAATAAAAGCAAGCCATGTCTGACACCTGAGATGGGAGGTCAATTTGCAAGAGAAGCAATGGCACAGTGTGTTCTATGGACAGTAGACATTGTCACCTAGTAGGAATGGAAGTGTTTATTTCCATTCAATATTTTGATAACTGTCTGTGAAATGGCAGCAAAGGACAGATTGGGACTGGCTCTGGTGTTAGACTTCAGGGTTGGGATTTTATTTTGTATGTAATAGGAAACAGACTGGGGGTTTTAAAAGTGCAATGTTAGCATGAAAGCAGATATTTAGAGACAGAGACCTGGCAACAGTATGCAGCATCAGTCTAATTTGGGGAAAGAATATAAGTAAGGACATTAATTAAGAGGCTGTTGCAGTAGAAAGAGTGCCTGAATTAGAGCAAGGCCTGTAGCAGGAATGGTTTTTGTGGTTATTGTAATTATTTGAAAAGCACTTGAATGTAAATATTGGCAGGATCAGTGACATTGGATATAGGTAAGGAAGGAGGAAATAGAAACATCTAGACAATTTGAATGTTCCACTAATGGTGTACTCTGAGACCTGCTATCTGCAACATATATAGTATGTGTGTGTATACACACATATATCATCCATGTAGTATATACCCACATTAGGTAAGATGATATAATAATTTTCCATGTTTAAAGGTAACTTTAGGTCTTTATTCTGAATGCATGGGGAAGTCATTTTACTGCTTCCTGCAGAGGAATGGCATGGGAAGATTCGTTTTGCAGAGATCCCTTTAGCTACATTTTAGAATAGGTGCCGCAGGCAACAAGCACAGGAGCAGGGAGACCCGCCGGGAGACACTTTTTGGCAGTCCAAGGAAAAGACGATGGTGGTTAGGATTAGAGGTTTCCATTAAGACTGGGAGTCAGGATATACTTCCAAAGTTGAGGGATGGAAAATGACCGGCAGTGGGGGTGGGAAATGGGGTGCAATGGTAGGAGGGGGTAGGGAGGTGAAGGAAAAAGACCAAGAAAGGTGTCGTGGGTTTTGGCCAAGCCACAGGGTGGGCGGGGGTTTCATTTCCTGAGGCTCAGTGGTATGTGGCGGTAGACTCAAGGCTCTCCACTATGCTGGTTTACTGCTAATAAGCCCCTTAGCCTGCATATTCTAATTTTAATTGTTTTCCCTCCAAGGAGTATCTTTCAGATACCCAACAGTTTGCTTCCATCCTGTCTGTTTCACTTGGCAAAAGCATTCTCTCTCCCTCTCTTCATTTTTTGTTTTATTCTCCCTGCCTCCTCTGCTCCTAGTTAGTGAACTGTAAGGTTGGGAAGAATATAAAAGAGAGATGTTGATTTCCCATAAATACCTCTCTCGGGAAAAGGTCATTGAGCCCAAGAAGAAGAAGGAACAAACTACCTTGTAAAACTTGTCATTAAACTCAGTTTACTCAGTCCCGCTGCACTATTTACGACAAGTCACTAAAATGTCAGCCTATTCCTCAGTGAAATGAGTCATTCTGTTTTACAGTTAAGCTTTTCCTTAAAATGCTTTTGGTGGGTAGTGTTTATAGGATACATAACAACTTTATTTTCTCAGTACCCAAAGCATTTATAAAAAAAAACCCTGGATTATGCAAATGGCAGGTAAACAATGACACTTGTTTAACACTCTCCCATGGATTGATTTTAACACAGTTCCCCACGCAGGCGACAGGCAGGAAGCACTGTGTGCAGTTTCCTGAGCAGTTGCTCTGGGCTGCCCCTCCCCGGATGATGGGAGAGCTGAGCCAATGAGCCCGAGCACCCCTCCCGCACCAGACTCGCTGCCCTAACCAGGTGCTTTCTCAGCACCGCTTCTAGAAAAGTACCTTCGCAGCAAACACCAATAATAATGTCGAAGGAAATAATAGAAATGCCTTATATAATAAATTGCTGGAAACACATCTGGTAGGCAAATGATCTCAGCCTTATCTGCACCAAGAATTACAAAACGACAAGAAAAGAAAATGAAAGAAAGAAAAGCCCGCAGTGCTGCATCTATCTCTAGGACACTTAAACATTTAGGGAGTGATGAGTGTTCCTGCCCATCCCTGTTTGCCTGGCCAGGGCAGCACAAGCTGTAGGCACTGGACACCCAGATAAGTCACGACATGGGAAATGCCAAACAAGTGAAGTCCCCAGCCTGGAAAATTGCTCTAGGATAAGACAGGCAACAGCACGGGGCGGATAATAAAAAGGCCGGAATCGCTTTCCTATTTTCCTGCTGAAACGAGCAGCGGTGTGAGTCCAGTCTCATTTCAACATGCACTGCCGAGACGGGACCGGTCACCCTCGTGTAACCGTGGATTGAATCCTGTCGTTGCACGAGGCCCCTGGTGAAGGAAGACATGCCAACTTCCGTCTCACCTGAAAGATGGGGTTTCCGTGTCACCTGGGAACTCATTATAGGGCAAACGCTTTGCAGTTAAAGTTGCTGGATTAATTGCAGGCACAGATCCTAACTCAGAGGGAAGAGAGAGAGCAGTGAGGGACTCAGATGCCATGGTGATGACACAGAGCCTTTCATATCCAAACCTATAAATCATCCAAGTTGTTAAAACCATGGAGGCTCTCTGAGTGTGACAAGATAAGATAGTGTCACGGTAAACTGCAAATAAGCCTTGGGACAGGGAATCAGGTTTCAGGGGATAAAAGAAGTACTTATACCGTGAATCTCAGTTTCCCTGAGAATGAAAGATTTATATGATTCTTCCACTCTGAAACCTAAATAAAACTCTGCTTCAGAGTAAAATCAGGATAGTAAATAAGTGTAAGAGTAGACTGGTTTTTTTCTTTTTTTTTTTTTTTTTTTTTTGCTTGCTGTCTACTTATGTTAGCTTTATAGAATTATCAATGGAAAAATCCAAACTTCAAAACAGTTTAAGGAGGTTTATTCTGAGCTGAATGTGTGTGATCACAGCCAGGGAAACAAGTTCTCAAGAGAAAATGCTCCCGGGGTGGCCAGATTACAGTTTGGTTTTATACATTCAGGGAACTGGAATTACGTAAAATCATAATTCAATACATGGAAGGTATGCATTGGTTCGGTCCCAAAAGGTGGGACATCGCAAAGCAGGGACTTATAAGTCATGGGTGGGTTTTAGGGATCTTTAGTTGGCAGGTGGTTGGAAGAGTTAAGTTTTGTCTAAAAACCTGGAGTCAGTGGGAAGGAATGCTTGAGTTCAGGTAGAGGTCTGCTAGGAGGCTTGAGTTAAGGTAAGGGCGTCTTCCCTCGCTCACGTGGTGCTATACGGGAATCAGGCCGTGACGTAAACCACAGGGTACCGGGTAAATAAAACCTGTTCAGTGACATGTTATCATTTGTAGGCATGACTCAGCAGGCCTCTGAGAAAGGAATTTGGGCAACAGAAAAAGGCCAAGCGTTCAGTCTTCAGTATTTTGTATATTAATTTTTTACTGCATCTCAAAACTGTCACCACACTGTTGCACTGCTAGGCCTTGTTAAAATTCAAGACGAAATTCAAGGGATTTCCTCGACTGACATTTTATCCTTCTTCCTTGCAAATCCCTTACTTCACTACAGCACTTACTATTAATAGTAGAATTTCCTGCTATCCTACTCCAATTCTGAAAGTCCTCTGAGGGCCTCACTCTTGCTCCACCTTTGCTTTATCAGCACCCCAGGCTTCACCCAGGGGAGCACCTGGAGACCGCCC